ATCTATACTTTTGTTGTTAAAATGTTACGTCTCAATCAAGTACTGTATGTTTTTTTTTATATTTTCAGTAGTGTGTCACACAAACAGCAAATATTGTCAAAAAAAAAGTAAGAAATCTTTGGGGGTGCTTTGGTTCAAATGGGCTAAAATCGCCCCTGTATCAGACACTACTTAAAAGAATGTTTTATCTACAACTTAATGTCCTTTGGAAATCTATTTAACATGTAGTCTCGCTAGCAAATTCTGACCATTTTTCATACCAGTATAGCACCAAAAACAAAAAACAAGCCTCAGATCTCAGCAATGTTACATTAAAGTTTGACCAGTTAAAACGTGACCCAACCAGCCAACCTGTTCTCTTTATGCAAATCTGTGATGCCCTTAAATATATAATATAGTATAATATTCCCCAACATTTAGAAGTATTCCTTCTAGGTCTGCTTCATGAAAACTTTGGTAAACAGTGAAATTCATTTGCAGCAAACACTGTTAGGCGTCACCATAATAATATAGTTTACATACGTCAGTGTTTCAGTGTTTGTATCCCAACAATCTGGATATTGTATGAGATGCAAATCACTAACAAAAATAATTCATGAATAGCTGGACCTTTAGTCACATTGCAATAATAGAATGAATGAGTTCCCACCCAGAGTTTGCATGAGGCCTGTGCAAATACTGAACTACTTCCTGTTGACAGATGTGCCTGTGCCTTTAGTTTCTCAACTGTGTTGGTCCTAAAACCACTAGTCTCTGTCCCACACCTCCAATAAATAAATAAAAATAAAAACACTTACATTGGGGAGGTGATACCGTGCATGTCTCTGTCTCTTTGAACTCCACCTGCTGAGCACCGGTCCTGACTAACAACCATCCGCTCACATTGACGCACTTCTTCACGCCCTCTTTGAATGACACAGTATTACATTGGCAGATTTTTTCATCTGTGCATGATGTTGTGCAGGCTCCCTGAAAGTCACAGAGGAATTTATTAATGTCTTGATTATTCAAGTTAATTACCAGAAATAATGCAGATTATGGTGTTTGTGACACGTAGCGCATTGGTGCTTTATTACCAACAGATGGACTGCTCCAACAAGTGTTTATGAAAATCATGTCTGGCTCCAGGTATTAAATAAGTACTAGATAATATACAACATATTTATTCTTGATTTTCTTCCAGGAGGCAGTTAATATTGTCACTTCTCAATTTTTCAGATGTAGTTTACAACCAGCAAACTTTTGTCTGCAATAAAAAACACGAAGATGTTTTTTGCGTCCCAAAAAGCTTCCTGAAAATGATCTTACAGACTCATAACTGCTTCCCAGAGCACAAGGATGTGAATTTGATCAAAATCTTCACTATCAAGACTCATTTTGGTCAGGAATAAGGAAAAAAACCATCTGTATAGACCCAGAGAAACATTTGAGCCTTATCATGAAGGCGACATGGTCCATTATATAGCAAATAGCCTGTCTTGATGCATTCTCAATCATCCAGGAAAGTAAATCTCCAAAAAGTTGATTCTGTTCATCTGGACATAGCGTTTTGTGGGAGAAACGTTTCGTCACTCATCCAAGTGAAGCGTATGTCAGTATAGCAGCTGTACAGGAAGTGAAGTGAAGAAGTCACTTGGATGAGTGACGAAACGTTTCTCCCACAAAACGCTACGTCCGGATGAACAGAATCAACTTTTTGGAGAGCAGATAGCCTGCATTTATCACGCATTTATCAAATGATTGAACTAAAAGATTGAACATGGGAACTGTATTCTGTTATAACCAATAAACACGTCGAAACACATGAACCGGTCTCTTAAAAAGTGGCATGCAGCTTACATGTTTATTAATGTGTTGATTCTTTTCCTCATAAAGAATATGCAAGGCTTAAAATGAAATCACTACATCTTATAATTATCATCACGGTTTCATTTGTCAAAAAACATAAAAACACACAACAATGTTCAGCGGTATATGTCAGCCACCCCTTACCTGTTCATTTTTAACTGTAAAGTCGATTTTGTATTCACGCGTGTCCTTCTGTGACATCTCTTTGTAGAACTTGAGGGGATTCTGGAAACTTACTGTGAACTTCTTCTCCTTCAGTTCTAGTTTTACAGGAGGGAACTCTAAAGAACCTAAGAAGAAGAGATATTTAAGCTTAATCTCCACCTCTCTCTCACTTAAACCAGGCTCTGCAAATGTTTACTAGCAGCATTGCTTACATCTTGTGTCGACTGTCCGTGAAAATTTAAAGGAAAAAGTATTTGACTTCTCAGCTTCAGACTTGATGCCATCCTGTACAGCTGCTACAGTGACATACATGAACCCGAGATATCCCTCATCCCCAGATTTCCAGATACAGTTGCTCAGGTCATACTCGTGATCTGTGGTTTCAAATGTACAATTCCTAAATAAAAAAAAACAAAGACAGATTAATCCCATGAATAATACTTTAAATATAGTGGAGGAAAGTTTAAGTTTCTCAAAAATAAAAAAGTGTTTCCAGAGTCTAATGCTGACAAACTGGAGCGCACAAAGCAACAGAACAAGCACAGCGGTGCATTTAGGCACCTTTATCACACAAAGTAAAATCCAAAATAAGTTTGAACATAATGTATTATAAAAGCTCTTTTCTTACCATGGATGAAGGGTTCCTCTAAAGATTTGTGGTTTGGTTCTGTAATCCCAGCCGACAGAGACCTTTACATTTTGGCAGCTCACTCTTACGTTTGTTGGAGGTAAAACTGCAAATAAGAAAAAGAGGAAAGAGACATTTATTTCATATATCCCGTTCAGAGCATTTTCCCCCAGACGTCAGATTTGATTTTTCTTTGGGAACTTTTCAGAAATTCGAAGAAATGAAGGAGAGAAATATTCAGCTTACCATCATTACTATAAATGGGGTGGACACAATAATAGAAACACCTGACTGCATCAGTGGCCCTCCCACTCATTACATGGTTGAATCACGTAATCAAGACTTATTGTAGGGTTGCCTGGTTACACCCTCAGAGCTGAGGGGACATAAAACAACAACAACAACAACCTGCCACCTACAGTGGGGCAAAAAAGTATTTAGTCAGCCACCGATTGTGCAAGTTCCCCCACTTAAAATGATGACAGA